CCCTGATTCCCCGTTGCCCAGAGCCTCCATTGAACAGCCTGTAGTGCCTGGGCCTTATGTGCTGGGATCAGGACACCACCAGGAAGTCACTATGAGAATATTACATCCCAATTCCAATTCCTTGTCATCTTGGATGGCTTCTGGGTCCCTGAGTACACGCTCAGGGGCTGTGCCTTCCTTCCACTCAACCTAGCACTTCAGCCAGCAAAGCTTAGCATGGGAAGAAGTTTGATACCTTGGTGGCACAGATCTGCCCTCCATTATGTTGCTGCAGATCCTGTGAGGGTTGTTGAAGGACAGATTCCCCTGGTGTCCCAGGCAGGGTAAGGAGATGGAGATGCCCTGGCACTGGTGGATCACCCAGTGCACTGGTGAACCACCTAGTGCCTCTGCTTGCAGGTATCAGAGAGGAAGAAGTGGGACCTTGGTCTCTGCACAGCAAGAAGGTGCCCACTCCCTGGATGATGAGTAGACAGTGACTCTGCCCAGAACTGCAGGCAGGAGGAATGTGAGGGGAGCATTGCCTGGTCCATGCGACCCTGCATGCCTGAGCTCTTATTTCAAGCCCATAGGTGCCTTCAGGAGCCCCTTCTCTGCACCTAGGAGATGGTGATTGCCTGAGGGTGACAAGTATTTAAATCACTACCAGGAGCTGAGTGTGAAGGTCAAAGAAATTGTCAAGTATCATTCAAAAGCATCCCTAAAACTGGTTTAGGTTTGATTTTTAGATTTTTTTCTTTGTTTCTCACCATCCTAGTCTATTCTTCATTGGTAATAATTTACATTAATCTTCCCTAAGTTGAGTCTGTTTTGCCTGTGAGGGTGGCTGGTATTTGATCTCCCTGTCTTTATCTCAACCTACAAGTTTTTTCACCTTATTTTCTCCCCCTATCTTGTTGAGGAGGGGGATTGAAAAAGAGGTTGTGGGCATCTGACAGCCAGCCAAGGTCAAACCCACCAAAGGACATGACAAAGCTACTCCAAACAGGATAGTATGATGCCCTCGAGAAACATAAACATGAGCAAGAAATAACAAGGTGGAGGACAGGACCAGGAACACAGCCAGGAAAGAACACTGACAAGACTCTCATTTTACACCTTTCTGAGAACTGGGAAATTTCAATTATTTTTTTGAAACAACAAAATCATACACTGGACAACAGCATGGCTCAGAGTCAAAAAGGATCACGTTTCAAAAAAATATCCCATCATCTTCAAATTGTCGAAAGCTGCAGGTCAGGAGTAGCTGAACTTGAAAAAAAAAAAAACCCTCTGCACTTTGTTATTTTTAAAGAATCTTTAAATTCCATTTATGTTCACTTTTGTTTTAAGAGCACACATTCTGGGTACAGAATTGGCTTATTGTGGATGATCATGTGCTTCAGGCAGATTTTTTTTTTTTCCTTTGAGGTAACCACCTTTGTAATTTTTAGAGCCATGACAAAGGAGAACCAGACACGTGTAACTGATCTCATTCCCCTAGGCTTCCTGATATCCCAAAGTGAGCACATGGCCCCATGTACCATTATCTTCTCCATGTACCCTCTAATGCATTGTCACTGCATGGAGCAATCAGCACATCAGACCTTGCTGCATTTCTTCCTCATCAGGTTTCCTTCATGGTGATCTGCTCTACATGTCACGAAGAAAACCATTTGTGTTGCCTGCCGGCTGGCACACTCATGTTCTCCTTTCTTACTAGCTAACACTGAGTTCATGGTCCTTTAGTAAGTCCTTCAGTGTTTGTCAATAAAACACATTCCACACAGCCTGATCATCCCTACTTTAGAAGCCAGCTTTATAGCTTCCAGGACTATTCTTTACAGTTACTAGGGCCTATGGCAGTTCCTGCATCAATTGCCTTCCAAACAAACCAAATTGCATATTCAACTGTCATCTGTGAGGCACTGAAAAGTGTCTGAACAAACCAGTAGATGTGTTTGTGATGAGGGCCATGCTTGTAGTAGTCATCCGGAACTTCTTCCTGTGTGAGAGGATGAGATTCTTCCTCAAATATATCCAATTATCTGTCTGAATCTCTGTTCTGCATATGGTAGAATATTGCTGACGTTGCACTTTATTGTGCTTCTAAGATTAGGTTGACTGACTGTGTAGTCATCTATAAATACTGTTGAGCATGAGCTGTATATTTTTGTAAGTTGCTCAGGAGAAATATGGTTGATGTGGTTACTGCTCCTCTTCTCTTGCACATCTGTTTGAGACTCGCTCAGGAAAATTGTACTTGCTCTGAGATGATGGGATGGATTAGATTCCAAGTCTTAATCATCTAGGAAAACCTGGTTACTGATGTGCTGGAGGTGGGGTCTGCCACTGCTGGGATTTGAGTCCCCTGACTTGTCCTTTACTGATCATGATCTGCTGTCTACTGCCACCACCTTGTACGTGTCAAAGATGACCAAAGAGCTGGAGAACTCGTCCTATGAGGAAAGACCGAGGGAGTTATGTCTTTTCTCCCTGGAGAACAGAAGGCTCAGGGGGACCTCATCACAGTAGTCCACTACTTAAAGCAGCAACAAAGAGGACAGAGGCTGTCTCATCACAAGAAGCCACATGGAGCAGACAAAGGGTAACAACAGATCTCCAACAGCCAGGGACTGCAGTGTTGAGAAGGCCCTGGCCTGCATGTGGGGAGCAGTGATGGTGTGAGCTGAGCTCAGAGCACTTGGGGAGCCAGGTAATCTGAGTACAGCCAGGGTTATGCCCCAGTGTTTGTGCTATGGTTGGATTGGTGCCTGTACTATACCACTGTGTCCCTGGGGCATGACTAATTTTCAACCTGTGAGGCTGTTTGTGGAGGTCATGCACGCGGTGAGGAGGAACTGGAGATGCCTGCGTGCTGGTGACTGACCCCAGTGCTTGGGCAGCAGGTCTTCTTAAGAGGATTTGAAGGCTTGATTCCTGAGCACAGCAAGAATGTGCCCAGTGCTCAATGAGACGGAGAAAGATAGTGCCCCAAATTGTAGTCAGGAGTAACATTAGTGGAACCTCACGTGGTCTATGGGGCACAGTGGGCCTGAGCTGTTATTTTGAGCCCAGTAGTGCCTTCAGGAGTTCCTTCACTGCAGCTAGGAGACCATGGAGACCTGAAGGATGACAGGATTTAGAGCATTACCCAGTACTGAAGGCCAAGCTCTAAAAAGAAATTTAAAAATATCATTGAAAAGCATACCTAAATGTTGGCATTATTAGTGAAGCCACAAATTGTTTGCAAAGACTCAGGGTAGATAGAAACAAGCCATGAGAAGGCATGGAGTCATTGGGCTGCAGATAGCCCAATTTGCTGTGGGGATGCTCTGTGCACTGCTGCTGTCTGTCAAGTCTCCATCTGCCTGTAAATGGTGGGATGATGACCATGAAAGTGGGGATGTCCTGCAGGGATATGCAGGGAGCAAGTACTTCTTGGCACTTACGATCTGCAGAGATGAGTTTATACAGACTCTGACAACAGGGAAGATGGAGTCAGTGCCTCAACACCTTCATCACCCTACTTCAGAGCTGGGTGGCTAGGAAGGGCCGTCTCTGGAGCTCCAGATGTGCATGACCACCCTTCTGCCTCGACATCTCCTCCCACCCAAGGCCTCTAACATGCAAAGTTTTTTGGACCAGCTGATGCCTGAGAATATCAGCCAACATTGGAGGGTGAGAATGGCTTAGCAGAGACAGATCAAAGAAGCTGCTGAGTGCAGAAACACGTCCCACTATTGCCACAGTGGCCCATTGGGGATGAAGGGGATAACTGGTCTTGCTCAGAGACTTTCCGGAGCAGAGCTGGGATCTGGCAGTGGTGCAAATATAGAGGCCCCGAAAAGCTGCCTCGGGCTTGGAGGAGAAAAAATGCTGCAGAGCAGTCGTGGGTTTTGGGCACTGAGTGCTCTCCTGGAGCTGCAGTGGCCCATGGGGCTGCTGGGTTCACACAGAGTAGGGACTCCATTTTGTGGATGATACCAGTACCAACTTGTGAATTACCTCAGCTGTGCATATCTGGACAGCAGTTGGGCCCTGCCAGGTGCTGAAGGACTGTATGAGGTACATATCTCATCTGCCTGTGCCCATGTGCGCTGACCGTGGGTAATGGAGGGGAGAGGAAGGGGGCTGGGCTGTCTCCAGGTATTATTGTCTCCCCATCCCCATTCCTGCCACCCTTTGGAACCATCCTCTATTCAAACCTCCCTCCCTAACTCCATTCAGAACTAGAGGAGACCCATTCCCCCAGACAGAGGGGCTGCAGACCTCATCCATTGGCTTTCCACAGCCATAGGCTACTCACTCAAGGGCAGCAGTGGTTGGGCTCCCCATTCACAGAATGTGCTCCAGGGCCCAGTTCTCCAGGCCCATCTGTGAAGAGATGCAGCAAGGCTGCAAGGACTGATGACCATTGTCTGTGGAGTAGCCAGGAATATATTCCTCAGCTCCAAGGGACAGGGCACAAAAGACAACCCAGTGCAGTGAGTCCTTCCCTCTTCTTCCCCTGGGAAAGAGGAAGGGTCCTCTTTTGTGCCAAAACTAATCCTTTCCAAAAAGCCACCTTTTTTCCCCCAAGCACGCTGGAAGAGTTGCCTCAGAAGAAAGGAGGACACAGAAGCCTAGGCATGGATGCAGCACAACTTTAATGAGTCTAAAGAAGAAAAGTAGGTGGCTCACAGGGAGCACCAAAGGCAGCCACTAAGATGAGGTAGAGCTCCTACTGGGTCTTCATCTGCTTGCCCTGCAGTGGGAGGGAGGCCAACAGGTCTCCGCTGGGCTGCCGTTGGGAGAAGGTGGCAGCAAAGGAAAGAGAGATAGAAGAGAGTGGCAAATGGAAAAGAAGACATAGGCCATGCTTACAGACAGCGCAGGCTGGCCACTTCCTGCCACCCTTTGCAGAAGAAGTCACGGACTAAATGCTATTCTAAATAGGAAGGTCCAAAGCTCTATTTTTTTCTCCAACACCATGTTCTGAGGGTCTTGGAAGTCCTTGCCCAAGGATGTTTCCAGCAGCTTTAGCAGGGCCGACATCTGTTGCCACAGTAGCGGCTGGTGATGCAGGAGAGGTCACAGCAGCAGTTGATGGGCACCCCGTTAGAGCTGAGGATGCTGCCAACAGCAGCGGAGGTGGAGGAGCCCACGGCGGTGTTCTGTGGGAAGGAGCTGAGGATGGGGCCAGGCAGGGTCACCACCACAGGGGAGGGCTGGATGACAACAGTGGAGTTCTGGCACTGCCTGACACAGCACTCGTTGCAACTGTTGGCCAGCGGGGTGGGGCCACAGGGCCGGCATGGCTGGCACTGGTCATAGCAGGACATGTCTATGGGTCAGAGGGGCACCTGGGAGAGAATGTAGGGGGTATCAGAAAACGAGAACATGTGAGAAGTACCACTTCACCCAACCACAGTGGAGCCCATGCACCTATCGGCTCAGCATATGCTGCCCAGCTCAAAGGCCAGGAGCCATCTGAACTAAGTCCCAGCCACCCTCTGCGGAAGACCTTCTCTCCCCTGCCCTCTCCCATCAGAAGCAGCTCCCAGCCCTGGGTTCCGACAGCCCGTATCAGCTGAGGCATACTTCGAGGCAAGTCCCGATCTTGAAGGAGGAGGAGAAGGGGCTTCACGCTCACCTGGTTCCCAAGGAGAAGGAGGCGGGAGCAGTGGATGAGAGAGCAGAGCGTTGGGTTGCCTTTTATAGTAGTCCTGCACTGCCTCAGGCCCACAGGCACCCTTTCTGGAAGTCATAATTTTCTGACAAGCTCGTGTCAAATGCAAGCCATCCCAGCTAATGGCATGTGTCTGTGCTGTGTCCTGGTTTCCTGCACTGCGCCCTTGGCATTTCCTGCCTTATGCCACGTGCTTTCCCATACGAAGGCTTCTGTGTGTGCTGGGATGAGTGGCGCAGGGATTACTTGGGCAGACATACATCAGCACAGGCAGAAGACTCAGCTCAACTGCTGATGGCATCCTGTGCAGGCAGGTGATGTGCACCTGGGTCATTCCTGTGGGCTTGTTTGTGGCCAAGCTGTCAGCAAATGGGCATTGCTTCTGTGCTTCTCGTCCAGATGCCCAAAGACTCCCATGTGAGAGGACATATCACATCCTTTTCTCTTTCTCCCCCCATCTCTCTCAGATGGTCCCTCATTGTTGAATGCTGGTGGACTTCTGCTGGAAGGGTTGGACCTTATTGCAACAGTACCAGTGCTCTCAGGACAATTTTGCTGGGCTCATTTCCATCATTCCCTCCCTGTGCAGTCTCGGTGGGTCCTTAGGGAACACCAGTAGCATTCCTGGGGCTTTCAGTCCCCTTCTGCCAACGTGGTCCCCAGCACCTCCTCAGCAGATTCCCCAGTTACATTTTTTTTTCCTGCACATATTTATTTTGTTTCTGCTTGACTGTATGCTGGCTTTATGTGAGTATACAGATTTTTGCATAATTCCATTCAGGTTTGCATGAGTATATGTGTTTCTGTCTCTGCTTGTGTAACCGTCATGAGGGCATATGCAGATCGTAGCAGGAGGACTCTCCCCTGGTGTGTTCATGACCTCCACAGAGAAGCAGATTCCTTGTGACATAAGGAATGATGATTGGAATGTAAATAAAAAAATAACTAAAACAGCCTTAATAGAACAACAATGATAAAAAGAAAAGACAATAACACTAATAACAAAATAATGAAATATGTACAAATATATACAAAACCGACACCAAAGCCAACCGCCCTGATGATGATGATAAGCAACCACTTATGCTGCAGGCCAGGCACGGGAGAAGTCCAAGGCTGGACTCAGCAGCAGACGGCAAGCAGATTCAGGAGCTGGTTTTGGGAACACACGCATTGGGATTGAAGACCAAACAGAGTCCTCCTCGTGTGACAGCCATTGAAGAAGAGGGCTTTACCCTTGTGATCCCTCAGCATTGTACTGAATATGACATCTATGGAATGGAATACTTTGTCGGTCAGGTTTGGGTCACCTGTCTGGTTTGGTCCTCCCTGCAAGTGTGAAATTTTTACCTGCTTATAACCCATTTGCTTTATGGCATTCCAACATGGGGCACAAGATTTAGCAGTTACGTTGGTTTGCATAGGACCAAGTATAAGCAAGAATTTTTCTGCATACCATTCCATAGTAGTAACTACAAACTTCAAGCACTATCACTTCAAGAAGCAGACACTGCCTGGAAAAACAGGCTGTTAATTTCAGAAAGTGCAGTTACTTGGAAGAGACTTAGCTGAAATGTAAATTCACTGAATGGAGAATTGGTTCTGTTCTAGCTCAAAACAGGACACATGGCACAGAGGTGCTTGGAGAACTAGCACTGAAATGCAATCTCTGCCTCCTACTGTACATGAAAAAAGGCCAAGAAAGTCTGCCCGCCTCTGCAGGCCTTTGTCCCTGAGTGTAACCCCTTATGATGCAGTGTTGCTGGTGCCTGGGATGGAACAGAGTTGCCAGATGCACCTCTGCAGCTCGTCAGCCTGGTGCTGAGCGAGGATGGGGCCAAGAACTCACACCAAATGGGTGTTGGACTAACAGGACCAGGGTCCAGATGATCCTCTGCTCTGAGATGTAGGAGAGGTGGACTGACTCAGTTTAGAGGTAGCATAGCTGGGGGCTGACCTCTTCCCTTTGTTGGGCTTGATGAGATCATTGCCAGATGGTGCTGCCGGGAGGCTTCAGCCAGAGCCAACTCCCCTTCCCATGGAAGCAGCTTCTAAGCTTCAGTTCCAGTGCTCAGCCCCAACCTAAGTTACAGCTCCAGCTGTGACACATTTGTGCTTGTATCTGGCCATGAACCCCACTGACTTTGGTTTGGACACTGACACGCAGGTGACTTCCCAGCTTGACCTGAGACCTACCTCGTCTCTATGAACACACCTGGTGATTGCTGGACTTTGCTAAACTCTGATTATTTTCATGAGACCTGGTCCTGGCCTTGACTCACTGACTCACTGACTTGCCTTTCCAGCTTGACCCCAGACATATACCAGACAAAGCCTGAGCCAGGATGACTTAAAACTCTGCATACTTGTAGACCTATGATCTTATAGGGGTTTTGGAGAAAAGCTGGGATAGCTCTTATGTCTGGTGTGTGTGGTGGCTTTGCAAAACAGAAGGCAAAATTGCCACCCTGCACTCAATAAGAGCAGACTTTTGTCCCCACAGGGAGCTGCTGGAGAGAATCCTTTGGGAAAGTGCTGACAATAATAACGTCATGGAAACAACCACAACTAACTCCATCTGTTCAACATGCCAAAGATATGAAATGGACCTACCAAGGACATTAGATTGCTGTATTTTGGAGCATTTATTCCAAATCTTTAAGTGCAACTAATAAAACCATTTTTCTTAAGATTATTCAAAGTTACATCCACCCCTTATTGAAGCCTGAACTACTGTTTTTCTGTTGATTTTTTTATTAATCTAAATTTGCTTTATACTCCATTGGACCAGCCTCAACAAGTTCTTTTCTGCTGAATTTGCTTTATACTCTGTTGTACCCAATGTTATGTGGCAAGGTTTTTGTAATAATGAGGAGGTTGCAGGAGGGGCCTCTGTGAGGAGTCCAGGCGCTGCACTCATGCTTTACAAAGCCAGCTCGAGCCAGCTCCAGAACGAACTCAATGCTGGCCAAAGCTGAGCCTATCAGTAACACTGGTGGAGTCTCCATGAAAACATATTAAGAAAGGGCAAAACACTGCACAGGAACCATGGAATGGAGAAAAATTAAAGTGTCAGAAAAAATCCTGCAAACGCTAATATCAGAGAAGAAGGAAGTGGAGGAGTTGCTTCAGGTGACAGTGTGGGGATTCTACTTCATCCTGTGGGAGAGACCATGGCAGAGCAGATATCCACACTGCAGCCCATGGAGGACTCCATGCCAGATGAGATGGACACCCCCTGAAAGAACTGTGGCCCCTAGAGGACCCACACTGGAGCAGTCTTCTCCTGAAGGACTGCAGCCCAGGGACAGTATTGATGCTGCAGCAGATATGGAAATACTTCAGGCTATGGGAAGGGCTTATGCTGGAGGAGGGGAAAAGTGTAGAGGAGGAAGGAGCAGCAGAAAAGAACTGTTGTGTACTGACCACAACCCACATTCCCACCACACTGTGCTGATTGGTGGTGGAGGAAATGGAAGAGTTGGGAATCAAAGTGTGAAGTTGAGCCTGGGAAAAAGAGGTAGGAGTGGGGTGAAGTTCTTTTAGGATTTCTTTTTTTGTCTGTTTCTCACCATCCTACTCTATTTGTAAATGGCAATAAATTAAATGAATCTTCCCCAAGTCGAGTCTGTTTTGCCCATGATGGTAACTGTTAACTGATATCCCTGTCTTTATCTTGTTACACAAGATTTTTCACCTTTGTCACAATAGAGGACAAAATCAAATATCTCTTTTAATAAGATAGTAGACATTGAGTAAATCTTACATCTCTTCATATGCTGGGACCCCCACATTTGTGCAACTTCAGATGGACCCCTAACAGGTTTTCCCAAGGCACCTTGCACAGATCCTGACCATGGAGAGGTTCCTCCTCCCTCCCACATGGAGATGCTTTTTATTTTCTGTAACAAACAAGACCATATGAAGAACATGTACCTTCTCCTGATAGGTTGGGACGTTGTCATTACGTCCACTGCTGTGCAGCACAGGCCAGCATGGGGCTCTCCAGCAGATTCCCTTGCAGAGGTAATCATGTCAACATATGGGCTTCTCAAGCCTTAAGTGCAAGGCCCAATCAAGAAGACATGGGTTTCTCCAGCTCACTAATTCCTTGAGCACAGTGTCTTCCACAAGACTCACAGTATGGTGCACAGATTGGGTTTCGCTGAACTGCTTGGGGAGCATCTCTGTCCTCGGGAACAGCTCTCAGTTGAGTAGGGCATGTACAGCCAAGGAGATTTTGTTGCTGGCTCAGGAGATCTGTGATTCACACCCTGAGAGTGTGGCACAGTGAGGAGCACAAAAAGCCTGTGGCATGCAGGAGGTTTAATGCCAAAGGTCTATGTTCCAGTCACTGCTGAGATGCTCCTCAGAGCTGCTGGGGAACTTGGCACATGAGCTTTGAGCATTCCCAGGAACGAATTGCCCCCCATGCTCTACAAACAAGACCTTCCTCTCGTTTTTGTTGGGGTAATTTTTGCTCTCAAGCCCTTCCTCTTTTCTTCCCCAGGCACTTCCCAGACGCATCCTCTTGTCCTGCTGATATTTCTCAGACTTGATCCCCTTCGATGGCACTGTAAGAGTCAGTCCAAAACCAACATTGTCTCAAACTTATCATCAGGGATATGGACAGTAAAGTACCCTGAAATTTAGGCTGACATCTTGACATGAGTCTGCAGTGGCCTGCCTGAGACGCAGTTGCTGATCCTGGGAAGGGAATGCCAGGCTGGTAAGGTCATTATGCCCTGGACAGAGCAAGGATAAGAGCTGAGAAACTTGTTCACCTGGCAGGAAACAGCAAAAGGATAAGAGTGCTGGTATCTGCTTCTCCCCCCTAGAAACCTTGGGAGGGGAGATAACAGCCGAAGGAGGGAGCCTTGCACAGGCAAGATGGCTCTGTTTTGGTGAAAGAGTGCTGTGCCATTCTCTGGTACCAGGGACGAGCCTGAGAACCGTTAACAAGAAAAAATTGATCATCATCGATGGAGCCAAGAAGAGGTGGGGTTACAGAGGAGGAGCAAGGTGTGATACTTGGCATAAAAAAGGGCTCCTTAGCGCCCAAACTTTGGAAGCTTTCCCCACCAAGGATCACGGTGATTGTTAGGACCGCCTGGACAGTGTCTGGACCTGGGACCATAGGGACGCCTTGGACCTGTGGTGGTTGCTGTCGATCTCTTTCCTCTTTTCACTTTACTTTCCCCTTTCCCTTTTTTTTTCTATGACACGCCGTTTTATGGGCAAACAATAAAGTTTCACTGTTTCTTTGAAGCAAACCCCTTTGGCGTGGTCACCTTAATTTTGCACTTCGAGATCACAGCAAACGAACCATCACAAGTCCACCAACAATTCCTTCATGGTTGGGAATGTCCTCAAATATCCAAGCAATAATTACATGAAATCTTAAAGTTATCTAGTGGCCCAGTCATCTTCCTAGGAGTTCTGGAACCACCCCTGGCTTCTCTGTATGGAACAATGCCTCACTGTTGTACTCTCATGGCTGCAGAAGGTTGTGTTTCTGGGAGAAGCAGACTCCCCACTGCCTGCAATTGTTGAGACTGTAACATCAGAAATGGTGCTGAGCAGATTAACCCCCCTCCAGTCTCATGTAGCATATGTGTATACAGTATTTTGTAATCCCCATAACAAAGGAAGTTCTGCTTGTACACTATGTATCATTTTTTACACATCCCCAAACCATCGTTAATGCACAGGTGCTGTAAGCTGTCCTTATAATGTATAACATGAAGCTGCATTCACCTCAGTTCCAACAGTGTAAAGGTGAATTGAAGGCTGTGAAACCTGCTAAAGTACAAGGTACTATGGGAAATATTTTGAAACTTCATCGATTTGCTTTTGTTCATTGTAGTTCGCAAACTATTATGCTTTGAAATACATAAATTAGATCTGTGTGTACACATACACAAACACATACAATGCCATTGCATTCAAGTTTGTAATGTGTTCATCGCTATCACTGTTAATAATATGACACATATCAATTCACAGTGACACAAACTGGGTTCCTCTTGTCTGAAGAGGGAGACCTACAAAAACTGGATTAATTTCCATGAATTATTTTCCTCTCTCCTTTGACTTTGGCTGTGGCAGCTGATCTAAGGAGAAGCTGTCCCACTTTTTCCTTCCCCTATTTATGAGTATGACAATAAAAAAGAGGGAGCAAAACAAAAGTTAAGGATGACAGTTTTCAATGTCTGTGAGTGAAGAGGGTTCACTCATCCTTCTGTATGTCCTCCCCTGCTGAAGACAAAGCCAGTTGTAAACTATTATTGGCAGTTATCTGCCAGGCTGGCACAATGTTCTAGGAGGTCTAGGGGGACTCAAGACATAGACTCATAGAATCTTAGAATGTATTATTTTGGAAGGGACCTCTAAAGACCATCTAGTCCAACGCCCCTACAATAAGCAAGGACATTTCTAACTAGGTCAGGTTGCTCAGAGCCCCATCAAGCCTGACCTTGAAGGTCGCCAGGGATGGGGCTTCCACTACATGTCTGGGCAACCTGTTCCAGTGATCCACCACCCTCATATTAAAGAACTTTTTCCTAATGTCCAACCTAAATCTACCCTTTTCTAGCTGAAAACTATTACCCCTCAACCAATTGTTACAAACCCTGGTGAACAGTTCTTCCCCTGCCTTCTTACAGGCCCCTTTCAGGTATTGGAAGGTCGCTATAAGGGCTCCTCAGAGCCTTCTCTTCTCCAGGCTGAACAAGTCCAACTCTCTCAGCCTGTCTTCATAGGAGAGGTGCTCCAGCCCTCTGAGCATTTTTGTGGCACTCTTCTGGACATGCTGCAACAGGTCCACATCCTTCTTGTGTTGGGGGTCCCAGAACTGGATACAGTGCTCCAGGTGAGGTCTCACCGGGGCAGAGTAGAGAGTCACTTCTCTCAATCTGCTGGCCATACTTCTTTTGATGCAGCCCACAATGCAATTTGCCTTCTGGGCTGCAATTGCGCACTGGTGGCTCATGTCCACCTTTTCTTCCACCAGTACCCCCAAGTCTTTTTCCCAGGGCTGCTCTCTAGCATGTCTTCTC